TATTTTGAGAGCACTAGTGAAAATGCTTTTAATTTGCACTTTTTTAATTTAAAACAAATGTTTTTATACAAATTGGGCATGACCAATTAATATTCTTGTTGGAAATAGCCCATAGCATTTTTAAGTGTAATTAATAAAAATTGTGTTTTAATAAAAACAGTCCTGTTATTTAAATATTGAATTTCATTCGATTTTATCGAAATGCATCAAATTCAGGAATGAAACTGGAGCTGAATTGGCATTGTCATGGTAAAGCGGGTCAGAGAGGAGTCTTACTGCAGCAGGCCCTCGGCTGGGCCTCCCTTCAGCACATCAGATATGACGATGGATGTCTCCCCGCTCTGAAAGTGAGGGTTATCCCTCCCGCCTGAGATAGCGATCCCGAAGCCAAACCCCGGAGCCTGCGAGACACACAACGACATGTTCACAAACAACGCCAAAACATTCAAATCACACAGGAAGAGCTGGAGAGGGACAGAATGGGACAGAGAGAATGAAAAGATAAGATGGGAGATGTGGGAGGAGAAGAGAAGGAAGATAAATGAGGGGATGTGATGGTCAGAGAGATACATAGAGAGGGCAGAGAGACAGAAAGATCCTATCACAGATACAAAGAGGAAAAAAACAATACGATAAACCTGCAAAAGCCACCTCAATTCTACAACAGAACACAGACAGCTCACTTGATAAATTTCAACAGTTGCTATTTGAAATGACACCATAATCGCAGATAACTGATATATATATATAGTGTGCATTAGTGCAGACTGTCTTCTCTTCCAGGTCAACTGTGGTCATGGTGGATAAACAGTTTGTAGTCAATGTTAAACTGTCGACATGTTCATAGCTGGTCAGAAGTACAACAGTACTGCATGATTGCAATGCGTTAGCCAAGCGTGTGACCGTGACAAAACCACAACGCAAAAATAACTTAACTTTCCCCAAAATGCATTTAGTAACTTTCATTAGGATTTAACCCAATAATGTAAAACTCAAAATATTTGCTTTGTTGTCCCGTGAAAATTTCAAAATATCCAGACAATCTAAATTGAAGTTGATTTTATAACTCTTTAATATAACTGTGTTGTTCTTGTTAAAAAGACCCATAAAAGTGTTTGACGAGTGGCTTCTTTCCTGTTTTGAGGTGTCTCCTATTCTAGATGATTCTGGACCTACACAGTGCATGTGACACCAAGTGTACTGTACATTTTATTTTATTTATAAATGTAACTTAATGGATTACTTTCCTTAAAATGTATTTAGTAACTTTTTTTAGGGAGTAACCCAATAATACATTACGTAATACAAGTAAAAAATGTTTTGCTTAGTTTCCTCGTAAAAAATTCTAAATACCCATGCAATATAAGTTTAGCTGAAGAGCAACATTTCTTTTGGTTTCTCTCCTGTTTTGTGGTACTTCCTATTAAAATAAGTTTGGACAGAATTTACTTTATTTTAGCCAAAGGTTATAGTTTACATCAAAGTTGCAACCATGACTTGTTACTTTGAGTCTTGA